TTCACATTGTTGCTATTTCAAAAATTATTAATAAAGATACAAGCAAGGCCTCACCTTAATACCAAAAAAAAAAAAAACAACTATTTGTATATTCATATACATTTAGTTGATTGCCTCTTTCTATAAAGCATTAGTAAAACCTCTTTGTTAAGTTGTATATCTACACCCTTATTATAGCCAAAATCACAAGGTTATAGTCTCCATACTATAGCCCTTATGTTTCTTGAACTTCTATAAAAAGGTGAAGTTCAAGTATGACATCAGAAATCAGAAATCTAGAAAAATGATTGGCTAAAAATTATTCTAATAATTTTTTAAACAATCATAGGTTGGCAGTTTTTCTAGATTCTTGATTTCCAGTATGATATGTGGAATTTGCTGGTCACAGTAATTTGAAAAGCGCTATAAATTTTTTAAAAAATCTAACACGTCTTAAATTTAATAAACGGTTTAATTTATTAACAAACTTTAAACGAAGGTATCTCAACAAATCAAAATCAATGAAAATTTTTTATTTTGATTCAACATACTTGTAGAGACAAAATAAAAAAAATTTTCATCGAATTTGGTTTTGTGGTTGTCGAGATATCTTAGTTTAAATTTAAAAAAATTCCACTACGACTTAAATAGACTGTTTAATTTATTTACGAACTTAAACGATGATATCTCAACAACCACCAAATCAAATTCAATAAAACCTTTTTATTTTGATTCCACATACTTATAAAAACAAAATAAAAAATTTTCATGGAATTTGGTTTGGTGGTTGTTGAGAAATCTTCGTTTAAAGTTTTAAAAAATTTACTACGACTTAAATTTTAATAGATGGTTTAATTTATTGACAAACTTTAAATGAAGATATCTCAACAACAACCAAACAAAATTCAATATTTTTTTTTTTTTGATTCCTAGAATCAAAATAAATAAAAAAAATTCAAAATTATGTAGTGATCTACATTATGCGCAGTTAATTCTATTGGTCAAAATTTTGTGTAACCTGATAATTTTTATGTTTGTTGGAATCTCAAAAACTAGCGGGATTTATGATTGAATTTTGGATCACTTATCAAATCCGAAATATTTCGGAAGTGAAAAAACTGAAAAACAATTTCTTGGGTTCTTTGAATATTCATCATGACTATTCACAAGTTTTGATCATCCCATTAATAGTATTAAATGAATGTCTGTATTTAATATGGATACTCATAAAGAATTTACGAATATTCATTGCTATATTCTAAACACAGAATATTCATGACTAGAGGTGCAGGCGAATCGTCCCAATGATGCCGTAACTTTGCCGTAACGTGCCGTAACTATATTAAATAATTATAAAAAGTTACGGCATGTTTGCCGTAACTTCTTATAATTATTTAATATAGTTATGGCACCGGCAAAGTTACGGCATCATTGGGGCACCTCTATTCATGACTGTTCACGAATTTCGTGTAGTTTAAATATTTATTGAATATTAACAGTCTAATAAATCTAATCCTCGACTATTCACCAACTTTGTATAACTGAATATTGCTTTTAATTGAATTTCCATTTTTAACGGTGAATATTCACGGAACCCACCTCTAATTTTGAGTGAATCCATAGTTTCAACAGTGAGTTCGTATTTTAAGGTAGGTGGGTTCACAATTTGAGTAGTGGATGAGTTAATTAATTCAACAATGGTAGGTCATCATTTAAGCATTTTAGTTCATGATTTCAATAGCGTAGATCAGTTGGTGGATCTATCATTTCAGCAGTGGGTATCCGTGGCTTCAACGCGGGTAGATTTATTATTTCAATAGTAGTGGATTGCCAATAGCAAATGAGTTGGTTTACGATTTTAGTAGTGGGTATGTAGTGATTTCAATTGTGGATGAGTTCATGATTTTAACAGCGAGTGGGCTCGTGATCTCAATAATGGGTGAATTCGTGATTTTAATAATAAGTTCGCAATTTAGTAATAAACATTGTTAATAACGGATGGGCTCATAATTCAATAGTGGTGGGTTTATTATTGTGGTGGGTTTATTATTTTAATAGCGATGGATTTATAATTTCAGCAGTGGGTGGTTTATGATTTCAAACATAGCGTGAGCTAATGATTTGGATCCAACAGTAGGTGGGCTCATGATTTTAGTAGTGAACAAGCAGCAATTTTAATTGTGAGTGATTAACTCGTGATTTTACAATGATTTCGTCGCAATTAGTGTAAGTAGGCTCGTGTTTTAAACCGTGGCTAATTTGTGACTCTAACAGTAAATGGGTTTGTAATTTTAATAATAGTTGCAATCGTGACTTTAGCAGTAAGTAGTTCTATAATTTCAGCGATTTCAATGATGCATGGATTGATTCGTGCTTTTAACAATGGGTGTGGTCGACATTGGGTATGGTCGCTATGTGAGCAGGAAAATTTAATGTTGTGTTCATTATTTTAATGATGGTTGTAATGTATAAATATCTTTTGGCACATATTATTTAACATATTTAAATATCTGTCTGCCTTGTCAAACTTTTGGTAATTTAATTGGTTAGATCTAATGTCACTAAATTATAGGTTCTTTTACAGCATAACTATACTTAGAATATAATTAATATACCCTAAGCATGGTTTTGATATTTGGCAATTCTATAGTCGTTGTCTACTACGATGACTATAAACTTTTAATTAGTGTATCGATATTTACTAAAATCTTCGCTCGAAATCATGCAATTGGATGGCAATGAGGCAATGTGAGTTGTAATTGTTCCCATATATGGGAAATTTTTGACATATTCCATGCCCAAAGTTTTTAGGTCGGAGGTTCGGAATTTGCCTGGCATAACTATGAATAAGGTGATTCGAAACGAATGTTTTTTATATCTATCGATTCACTTTGGTGAGACAAATTGAATGGTATAAGAAATCATTAGACTCTATTTAATAGGACCTCGTGTTAACTTCGAACTTATAAAAGTTAAAATTAATATTAGCTCAAAAGATCAAAAATAAAAAATATATGTTCTAAACGTTCAACATGAATTAAGTAATTTTTTATTAGTATATTTATTTTTTATGCCTTACAAAATATTGAAAACTAGGTTTTAAATTTTGATTTTGACCAATCCAGATTTTTGGTTTGGAACTTCTTATACAAAAGCTGGTCCTTAAGTTTTTAATTTGGAATCTAAAGATTTAGAACTTAATCCAAATCTAAACTGATTTTACCGATTTTACTTGTCATATTTTCTTTTTCTTGCTCAATTAACTCTGAATACTCTCTTGTCACCTTTCGTTTCAACACCCGCCATGCTTTTTCAGTGAATGGTCTAATATATTTATACGAATTTTTCAAGGAATGGCATTGATCAAGATATTTTCGCAAATACTTGTGAGTTCCATTTTCATTCATTTCCAGACATAATTCATTAATTCTCGCGTCAATGGCGTGTTTTCGTTCTGTTTTTTGTACTTTTTTGGCGGCCATATCCTCAAAGAAACGTGAATCCATTTCTTTTTCAATTTGCTCAGTGATATTGCGCTGATTGTCCATCCAAGATGGGCATTCTTGCGAAGTAAGACGTTTGAATTCTTCATGTTTTGGCATTATTTGATCTAGCCAGAAGATTGGAATAGAGCGTGTGTAAGAGCAGGGTAACAAGTGCAAAACCGCTGGTGGAACGATTTTCGATTCAATTAACTCTTCTTGCCTATTGATACATAATTATTAAATATGTAGTTATTTAGTTTATAAACAAATAATAACTTTAAACATAAACTTACGATTTAGTACGAGTTTTTAAACATTCAAAACAAGATCGAACTCCTCGTTCCCAATAAATCCTACTATTCTTATTTCTTCTTCCGCAAAAATAACATTTATCTTCCACTAAGAATCTAACATATTCTTTCTCATTCATCCCTTCGGGTGGTCCCATTTGTCGATAAGGCATGAAAATAAGACGTGATTGACGCCAAATCTCTTGAATAGTTACTGATTCACCAAGACAAAGGTCATTATAAAAGAGTCGACAAACTCTTGAAAGTGAAAGCAAATCAAATGGTGGAAGATATCTACAAATGTTTAAGAAGATTTCAGGTGGTAATGAGATCAGAGGAGAATAACTTGTTGATAATAATGATATGGTGGGAATAGAAAGTTTTTTAAATGTTAAGGATTTCGAAAGTTGGTCCATTTTTGTAAAACAATAAAAGATCACAATTCGATCTAAGAATTTTAGAACTAGTTTTATAGATAAAAAAAAAAAAAAAACTGTAAAATGTAGATCTGTTTTTTATTTTTTAGTACGTACATACATGGTACGCGTCGTAATTTTATCACGTTCTGTATTAATCACATGTTCTTGTTTTCACTTTCCAAATTTAAGAATTCTATATCCTCAAATGGAGATAGATGCTGGTGAAATTGATCTCGTGTTAGAAAACATTTCTAAAAGGTTAAATTCACACAAATGAATCTGTTTAAATATTGATTAGTACTTTATTATTAGCAATAATTTACTGTAATATTATATAGTACGAGACAGAATAAGATATTCTGTTTTTTATCTAATAAATTTAAATTACTATAGCTTTTTTTTTTTTACAGTTTTGTAGTTTTTTTATCTTAAGAAAAATTTTTTAATAATTAAAAAGTTACAAGAGTTTACGCTTGCCTCAGATATCGATTTTTTGGCCAGCATTAACTGATCGACATTGATTGGCCTAAATTATACTTCCAACTCTTGGCATTGCGAAAAAAGTGTCGGTCATTGTGAGATTGAGATTCTACTCGAACTATCAAGTTCTGGTCGGATGGAATTGACGATACTTTTTTCAATTTTGAGCGAGTAACTACCTACCAAAAATCAATAAATTTTTTTTTATTTTAATTCTGTGTATTTATAGAATTAAAATAAATATTTATCGATTTTGAATAGCTTAAAATTTTTTTTAAAAAAAATTAAATGATTATCAAAATAAGAACTGTGGCTAAGTTTTTCCAAACTTTGGGCGAAAGTATCTTGATAACTGCTGTATACAAGACCCGGGTTTATTTTATTTTATTAATTTTAAGCCCTATTAACAGACCCGCAGGTTTTTGGATAATATGTTGTAGGTTGATAATAGATAAATTACTGATTATTAGTACTGTATATTGTTCAAAAATAAGCTATATCCAAAAGAAACTACCCTCCTGTTTTTTTAAAAAAGTCATAAAGAGATTACAGATTGTTTTTATATATAAAATTCAAAATTTTACTAAATTGATTTGAACTTTTAACATTATTTAGCATATCAAAATTTGTATACTTTAAGAATTTTATACAAATTAAACAAGAATTCATTAAAATATTTTAAATTTTTTAAAATTTTAAAGGTTTGAAAATAAGCTATTTATCAAATTTAATGAACACTTGGATCAAAACTATACCAAAAACAAATTGAAGATTCAAGATTTAAAAAGTTTTAAAATATTTGAGTTTTAGTTTTTTTTTTTGGTATTAAGGTGAGGCTTTGCTCATATCTTTATTAATAATTTTATTGGGTAATAGTAACTACTAGTTAAATAATCACCTAGTATAAATGTTACTACAATTTATAAAAATATAAATAAAAATAAAATTATATAGCAAAATAAAAGCTCAGACTAATTTATTTGCAACTTAAATCTACTAAAATGGTCCTAAGCTCACCTAGATTATAATTAAGAAAATATAATTAAATGAGGTACCATATTTGATTTAGTAAACAAACCAAACATTATATTTTCTTCTAATCTGATCAACAGATAAACAAATATTAGAATAAATATGTAGTTGATCTGGTTCTTCACATATATAAGAATAAGTATATATTA